TCTGTTCTACTGACACAGTTACAGTGGTAAAATGTGGCAGACCACGTATACAAGGAGTTACAATAGTCCAAACGTGATAAAACAAAAGCATGTATGACTCTTTCAAGATCTTTAAAAGATAGAAAAGATCTAACTTTTGACAGAAGTTTAAGATGGAAAAAAACATGACTTAACTACTGAGTTAATATGTTGGTCAAACTTAAGGGAGGAATCAAAAAGAACTCCCAAATTTGTCACCGTTGGTTTGGTATAAGATTTTAAATGACCACAGTTAAAATTTGGTTTTCCTTTACCCACAGAGGGTTCAAAGACAATTGCTTCCGTCTTTCCCTCATTTAAATGCAAAAAAAAAAATGTAGACATCCAAGATCTTACATCAGCTAAGCATGCAAGCAAGGTTTCTAAACCATTCTTGCAAATCCAGACTGGAATTTTTCAAGAGTATTATTTGTTTCCAAAAAACTCTCTCTAAAATGTTAGCAATAAAAGGTAAATTTGAGATTGGCCTAAAATGCAATAAAACAGTATCCAGATTAGGCTTTTTCAACCGAGGTTTCGCCATTGCATGTTTACAATTAGCTGGAACAAACCCATAAAGAAGGCTCTTAAACAAATAAAAACTTTATTACAGAGTTCTCTGAATTTTTAGGGGGTATTACTCCTAAATTTTATAGAATTTAAATTGTTGGGGACTTTAATATTCATGTTTGTTGTGACTCCACAGTATTAGCCAAATAATTTATATTTACCGTGCTCTTACCGAATGAATTTCTCATTCGGTAAGAGCACATTTATTCAAAACCACTTAAGCTCCAAAGCTACTAAAATCAGTAAAGTATGATGAAATAAGGGTTGATGATCGTCATGAAAAATTATCGATTAATTGCCCATTTAAATAAATTTAATTTAATATATACAGAGAAATGCATCTTTCATACTGATTACCTAATCAGAGTTGAGTTGTTTTCTATTTAAATTATTTGAATCTATTTAAAAAGAGATATTTCAAGTTTTTGTATAGATATGTTTCTCATGTCTGTGAGTCAAGCAGCCTATACGTTGAGTTTTTCCTCGCTTGAGTTTTGTGATGGTTATCTGTATGAGCAAAAATGACGGCATATTTTGTTTCGCCTCCATGTCATGCGGTAAGAGCACTAACAGCTTCCACACTCCACACAAACACTTGGATCTGCACCTAATAGAGCACATTTATCTAGGTAACGTTAGAGCAAACAGCCGTGTAAAGTCACTACTACTTATATGTTTCAATGATAACATATAAGCCATATTTAAGGACGATGAATGATGGCGAACGTTTGGATTTCCTGCCGGATATGCTGTAACTACTACAAGGGGCATTCGTTAACGATCCGCCTGTCACAGACACAATTTTTTTTTTTTTTTCCTGCGACTAACCGACTATTATGGGGGCAGCCCTAGAAAATATAAATAGCCTATCAAAGGCTCTTGACTGACCACATCTGACCTGATCACAGAAAAACAAAAAAAACAATACCAAGTGGAAACAGGAACATCAGATGAATAAGTAATTTCCATCCATCATAAACTGACTCCCTCTTCCATCTGCCGCTTTGATTTCCTATCACGGACAGCAAATTGTTCAGGCAGAACCAAACTGAGGTCACAAACAATGGTAACCCTCAATACCGCATTCTGTCCATCGCTCTGTACTTTGCTAAATACGTTTACATGCACCAATTAGCATCAATCCAAATGAATTCAATCCGATTTCACATTCTGAAAGTTCTAAACCCTAAACTGCAATCTGATTCACACTGAGCTGTTTACATGTTGGCTTTTCAATCCAATTGAGCCATCAATCCTGCTCTTGAAAGGCCAATGGCCTTCAGACTTTAGCTCCAACCAGCTCCAACACACTTGCCTGGAATTTTCCAGTAGTCCTGTAGACCTTGATTAGATGGTTCAGGTGTGTTAAATTAGGATTAGAGCTAAACTTTGCAGGATAGTGGCTCTCCAGGAGCAGGAACATAGTCTCCTGATCTATAGAGATGACTGAGATAAAGTCAGAATGACTGACTGGTGTTTTTTGTTGAAGATAGACTGCAGCCAACCTCATCCCTCCCAAAGAGAATAAATCTTTCAAGAACATCAAACGAAAGAACAACATCACTGCCATGATCAGGAAAGCCAGACAAGAGAAAGTTCTTTCTGAGGCAACTGAAAATGCTCCATCATCCTGCTTCAGTTTACAGGTCTATCATAGACAGCCTCATTCATCACAGGCTGGTTTCCTTCTGCCTCCTGCTCCAGGACCAGCGTACAGCGGCCGATCTGCTCTGCTGGAATGATCAGCGGCTGTCACCTGCCATCACTCTGAGAGGCTCAAAAAGGCGTTACGAGATCACCTTGGACTCATCACATCCTTGGCATTGTCTCTTCACCTGACTCTCCAATGCAGATGATGGAAGTCTATGTGCACAAGGACCTCCTGTCACCAAGACAGCTTCTTCCCTGAAGCCCTTTACGTCACCTGAAGGTTATGTCAGGTCAGGGCAAACCAAGATAGCCTTATTTCCTTGTTTCACTGACTGTATAACCATGGAGATCCATCATACTGTACATTACCTGTAATTATAGTCATCAGGAATCACATGAGCATTTATGAATGAATGCATATGTGAATTTCTGAACGTTTTTACATTTGCGGTCGGAATTGACTGAGAGATCTTAATATCAGGTGTAAACAGGGATCTAGATTCATTACCCCTTGTGAAAAAAAAGAGAACAGTTTAGCATACTTTAGCAAAGAGTACTTATTTGGGAAATATTTATTTATTTATTTATTTGCAAGTTAACTGAAATTCAATGAAAAAGTATTAGGCTTATAATTTAAATGTATGTTAAATGCAATTAGCAAGTGAAATTTAGCAAGTTTTTTTTTTTTTGACCCAGTCAAGTAGAATATCTTTATATGTAATTTCATTATTACTAGTACTGACAAGCATTATTAAAACTAAAATATCAACTAAAATATAGTTTAATGTTATTTCTATTGACATGTGTATATATGTATAACACATTTGTAATGAAGTTAAAAAAGTGTACCTACATGCAAGTGTGTTAAGAATCATAGTCATGAAAGTTTCTCTATTTAAGTACACTTAAGTGACCTTTTATTTAATTAACAGCATATTATAGATCTGCTAGTTTATATGTATATATACATAAATATATATACATAAATATATATATATATATATATATATATATATAAAC